TATATATATATATATATATATATATATATATATATATATATATATACAGGGTTCTTTAATACCTCAAGATAGCATTAAGAGAATAACCCATGGACTTGTTCCCTAGAGCTATCTTTATTAATTTAGGGGAGAAAATCAGAGAACTTGGCAAAAAGTTCAAAAGTGCACCACACAAGCTAGACAAAAATGTTCTACTGCAATACTGATCCAGCAAATAATATTCCACAACACAGAATCCCATCCCTCCACATGAAATCCAATTCCTCCAGCTCCAAGCCACCCAAAAAATCAAGAAAGGAGCAAAGAAATAGAAGAAGAGGGAGCAAGTAAAGAGAAGGTTAAAGAGGAAGAGACAGCTACCACTGGAACCTTGCAGAAGACCAGCTCTCACACCTCCCCACGGCAGTGTGATGGCAAGGTCATGACACAAGGCAAACACATGCCTGTGCTTTTATCTGCTCTGATCTCTATGGCAACCCCTCCAGCCGGGGTCTCTGACCCACCAGCCACTCTGGGGTTCCAGGCCAGGGTGAGGGGCAGTGTTCTCACTGTCCCTGTCAATCTGAGGCTGGGTTAGACCTCCAGGAGGTGTGGTGTGTTATAGTCTGCCCGGGCTGTTTGTGACTGACAGCTACTGCGGAGTTTCCCCATGTGGGTTCCAGGGGCCTGCCATGAGGGATACAACACCACCTCCATAAGGTTTGATCCATCCCTTCCCCCTCCACACACACACACACGCACCTTCCACAAAGTGGTTCTGACCCAGTAATTGCTGACCTGGTGTCTAACAGTCCTGTGGCAAAAAACTTAGAGTTTTCTGTTCAGTAATTATTAGTAGTTAGTCCTAGTTATTAAGAATTAAACTGTTTAAAATAAGGTTTACAAGAATTAAATTAATACCTTTATAGTCCTGACAAACCAATAGTGAAGGTATAAAGATGCAACAGGTACAAAATAGAAAATGCAACTGATCTTCACTGTCAATCAAGAAATGCAAGTAATAAATGTAGTCATTTAACTCTGAATACTTTGATTTGTTTTCAGTGTCATTGATACAAATAAACTAATGACAAAGGTTGTTGATGGTTATTTCTTCATGTTTGCATAAAAAATATAACTGCAATGTTAAGTAAACAAAAGATAGGAAAAACTTCAGTAAGCATTCAGGGTACCGGAATACTTCATAAACAGCAACATAGGACTCATCCAAGGCCTGGAAAAACTGTTCTTCCATTGTGATATTTGGAAAATTCAGATTTAAAATCAAGTGTCCAACCTGCTGTCAAATTTTAGATGTCTGCAGCTAGGTGGTTTTGGCTTTTCTTTTCAAAGAAATGCTTTATTGCAGTGGTGAGTTCAAAGCATTGCACCTACTGATTTAAGCTACAGTGACAAAAACACAGCAGTTGAGAAAGTTTTGCTTTCAGGAAAGTTTTGCTTTCAGGAAAGTTTTTTCCTGATTCCATTTGAATCAGAATGCATGTCTTCTAGTCTCAAGTTGTAGAAGAAAGGAATAAAAGTGTTCTAAAAAGCTACCTTTATTCACTACAAAGCAATGACAGATTTCTCACGCACTATCCATTCAGTGCATTATATGACACAGAAATAATCAAAAGTCATCTCTCAAACACAGAAAGGACCAGAATAAAGTGTGGAACACCAAAACAAAGTCTGACAAACAATCACCATCTTGCCATTTCTGTATTTCTAAATTCTAAACTGAGTGCTTGAGATACAAGCCGAATATTATTTTGAGCTCTTTTTATTGCTTTGTAATTTAAAAAAATCAAACCCTGACTTTCACAATGAAGAGTCTGCACGCACTTGATCAGTGGGGCAGGAATCCCTTCACTTCACTAATGTGGCAGAAATCCCAGTATCTGGTTTGATTATCTGGCTGTAGCAGTATCTCGTCACGTGCCCTGAAGACCAACCATCCTAAGGCACAAGGCACTTTGAAAGTTTCTCCGATACACTGAGAAAATGTTACTGAGGGTCAGAAATCCCTGGCCCCTTTCCTGACACTCACAGCCAACCTGCTCCAGAAGAAACACTTCAGCTTGCATCTAGACAAAATTCCACCTGGTTCATCTGTCAGCTTCCCCTACTCTTTGAGGTCTCTTCCGTCATCCAGCACACCCCTATCAGACCGCCTTCCACAATTTTAGTTCTGCCGAGCAACAGACACGGTGATTTTCAGACTCCGAGGCAGCGCCGGCGCGTTTCCAAGTTCGCTCTTCGCCACTCGCCCCCAGTCTGTCCCCGCCTCCCCCAGCCCTGGGGGGACCCTCTTCTCTCGGTCTGAGGACAGACCGCCCCTTTCCCGCTCCGCGGTAAGGTGCGTAGCCAGGCCCGCAGGGCCGCGCCGCCAGAGCCGCCTCAGAGGGACTCCAGCGCCGCCTTCCCGCTGCAGGGGCGGGCACCCAGCGGCGCCTCCGCCACCCGAGGAGCCTGGGAACTGCGCAGCGCCCGGCCAGGCCGCGGAGGAGAGAAGGCGGCCGCGGGGAACCCCGGAGCTCTGCGCAGCTCTGCAGCCCATCCCAGCCCTGTCCCGCCCGGGCCGCACGGTAAGGGGAGGTGAAGGGCAGCCCCGCCGGAGCCACTCACCCAGAGGCTCCGCGCCGACAGCCCCGGCGACCGCGGAGCGTCCGTAACAACGTCCCGGAACGGCCGCGCCGCCACATCCGGGGGCGGGACGGGGAAGGCGGGATCGCGCCGGGGTTTGAACGCGGGGCGCAGCGCCCAGCGGGGACCGGGCCGGATCGAGGGGCCGTAGGGCTCCAGCACGGCCCCTGCTGTCCACGCCCGTGGCCTGTGTACGTGATCGCCGAGGGGCTCCCCCACCGCAGCGATGGGGCTCGCTCCTCAGATCTTGTCCGGAAGCGTGGCCAGCCCGCCGCACCTCGGTGGCGCTTTCGTGAGAGACGGGGCGGCGGGTTTCCCCCCCCGGCGGGCGGTGAAGAACCTCCCTGCACCTGCGGTGCCCGCGCAGCAGCGGGGCAGGGGTTTGAACGGCAGAGCCTGCGGACAATCCCGGTGCAGAGCCAAGATGCCAGACCCGGGGGGCTCGGCCCTCTGCAGGGCCGCGGTTTGGGTGTGTCGGGCCTACCCGTTACCGCCTTTCAGATGTCATAACGGTGGCAGGCAGTGAGGGCTTAAACTGTGGTGTACCGCCTCAGGCAGCTTTCTTTTTTCTCCGTGTGTTTTCCCATTATAATGGAAAAGAAGTAGGAAATACTAGTCAGACCTTGCAAGCAGCTTTTCATGGTGTATATTTTCTGTGTTAACGTTTCCTTTTCATTCTTTTTTCTTTCAACAGATGGCAAGCAGCAGCCAGAAACGGATAATCCAAATAACTGGATTTAAAAAAAAAGAGAAAAAGGCCCTGCTCAAATGGCTGTTTAAACTGAACTGTGTATTTATAGATAGTAAGGTACTGTTCACTAAAGTACAAAAAAGAGGGTTAGAGCAGAAAGCAGAAATGCAAGTCTTAAAAGAAATGACTGTGCTTTAGTTTAGTTGTGTATAAATAGCCAAGGAATTTAAACTGTTTCCAGTGATACAAGTGTGTTGTTTTGTTTTTGTTTTGTTAGAAATACAGAAATTGTACACATCTTGTAGCAAAAAAGCTGTGCAAGAGTGAAAAGATCTTAGCTGCCTGTGCTGCTGGTGAGTAAAAGGTTTGCTGTTAAATTTCATAGCATCTGGATAGCAGCTGGATCTGGAAAGGAGCCTTAAAAGTATTATCTGTTTTCATTTTGTGAGTGAACTGTCTTACAAATCCGCATCCTTCTTGCGTTATCATCGATTTTTAATGTAGCATTATGTTCAAGTTATGATTTACTCTTTTTGTTTTGATTTTTTCCTAAACTGTATTCCTGCTCTCTCGCTTTGTTAGATCTGCACCTGTTACCAAACAGAAAGCTTTGTTGTATATTAGATATTGCAGTCGTGAGCAAATGACTTGAACACTTGAAAATGGATTGCTTAAAAGAGAATAGGGAGAATATGGACATGCATAGTCAGAGTGGATTTTTTACACCAAATTTATATGCAACATGCAGTGGTAAAGCTCAGTCTCTAATTTCCTGTTTATGCAGCAAGAAAAAATTCCAGACTTTTGCCATTCTGACACAAGCCTCTGGTCTTTCCTCTTAGTTGCCCTTTAACTGAGGCCTGATGCTGCAATCCCATAAATAAGCAACTAAAATGCTTTCAAAATGAGAATTCTGTATTTTAAGATTTCATTATAGCCTGATTACAGGTGAGGATTCTATGATGAGTTTAGGCTATCTTGTAGTTATATCACAATACCAATTTTAACATGATCTTTATTTTCCCAATATCATAACAAAGTGCTAAAGTAATTTTTAGAATGGATAATCTTAAATTAAGAGATAATAGAAATAGATAGACATAATTAAACATGTATTTGGGTTTAAAGATAATTGTAAATTTCTTGATTTCCTGTTTATATGTAGGGATGTGTATATTTATATATATGTATTTTATATATATATATGGATGGTTCCTTGTACTAACGTAAAATTTTCATCTCACTCTTATCAAAAGGAAATGACCAAAAGTTTCCATGAGGGAAACAATATTAAAATGCCTATGGATTTTTGGCATAGCACTTAGTTTTAAAAATTCTAAACCTTTGAGTTAATGTTTTCTCATTTTTTGGAATTTAAAATGTGGAGATATTTTCTTGAACAGAGTGGAAGTGGTATATGTGGTGTACCACTACCATGTAGTCCACAAAACTCTTAATCACGTTTCTCTACTTACAAATCTTCCCCAATAACGTCTAGCAGTTTTTAATCCTGAAGAGGTGCTATTTTTGCATAATCATTGGTCTTACTCTTGATGGCAGAGACAGTGTATTCATTCCTACTGCAAGTAATGAAGAAAAATAATGTTTATATGTATTTAGAGCTCTGTAGGGTTGAAAAGTAATACTTAAGGATGCCAATTGTGCTGACAGAAGTTTTGACTTGGAAACTTCAAGTGGAAGTGGTTTTAACATACAGGTTGTGCACAACATACCTTTTTCAGTCATAACTACTGGTACCTATGCTAGGTTTTGTAAAAGTACCATCTGTGCTCCAGCACTGAGACATTTTGCCAGTCAACCCTGCTGTTCTGTGAAACCAATTAGGTTCACACAATTCAAGTCAATTTCTCTTACAGTGTCTTCTGTAGGTAGTGTTTCAATACAGGAGCAGGATACTAACCACTGCTCTTGACCTGAACCTGTAAGAAGAGAGAGACAGAGAAAAGGGGAAGATCATTACGTACTGTATCAAAAGCATACGTGCGGAAGATGAAAGAGGAGAGGCGGAGGAGGTGGAGCCAAGGGATGAGAGAAAAGGGTGTGAAAAGAAGAAAGGGGAAAGAAAAAAGTCTAAAACTGTGTCCCCCGAATATTGATATTCACTACACTAGCCGTGCAAGTAATTTTGAGAATATATAAGAAAAAGAGCTTACATCCTAAAAGTTTAGCTCTTCTTTTAAGTCTTTGGTGGTAAAATATTTCTTCATTTTACTACATTTGTGTAAGTGTCAAATGGAATTAAAAATAAAGTGTTTGACAAGGTTCTGTGGAATTCATAAGAACAAAATCTGGGAAGCTGAAAAGATGTATTTGGAGATTTTTGAGGAGATAGACAATTATTTTATCTAGGAAGGGTAAAAAGGCACTTCGTCATTAAAAGAAAACAGAATGATCATTTTCAGTGGCATTGTGAGATTTTTGATTCTAAAGTCTGAAGTGGAGAACTCTTGTAACAGGAAGAAGTTTTAAAATGGTACTTATAATTTCAGCTTTTATTTGCACAAGAAAGGTTTAAGTTAATTTTATATTAGTTCTTCAGCTGATTGCCATTTGTCTGCACAAAAAAAATCTCTTGTGGTTGACAGTTCATTTGCTTTTTAGGAAAGTGGGTACTAACTAAGGAGTACATAATTAATAGTGCTGAAAGTGGCAGATGGCTTGATGAAACAACGTACGAATGGGGATATGAAATTGAAAAAGACACCCATTATTCACCTCAAATGCAATCTGCACCTAAAAGATGGCGCGAAGAACTGACATTCTCTAGTGCTCCAGGGGCCTTCCACAGATGGAAAGTTGTCCTCCCTGTTAAGGAAGGTGATAAACGAATGGCATCTATTAGAAGGTAGGAGTATATGTCTTAAAGCTTAAGTAATGCACAATGGAACACTTACTGTACGGTTGAACATATTTTTGTTCTTCCATCCCAGTTAATTTGGCCCATAATAACCTCAGCTCTCCAAAATCTGAATTATTTTCATTAATATATTTCCATATTTTTATAATTACTTTAAATCTGTAACATCATTACTTTTCTTGCTTTCTTTTAGTAGTGTCAAAAGTAACATGCATTTGTGTATGTTTTTATCAAGTAAGCTGCTAAGAGAAACTTCTTTCATGAGGCAAGAAATATAGACTTAAAATTTTTATGAGTGTTGTTTATTTCATGTGGTTGTTAGATTCAAATAGTAGCTGGAATAGGATACCTTATTTCACTTGACTGGGTGACCTGAGACTGAGTCTTATGAATCTAGGCCACAGTGTTGTTATCCTGATCGGTCTTTATGTCACATCTGTGTAACAGCTTCTTGTAGTTATGAAGATCTAATTTGTACTTATCAGATGTTTCTAATATATTGTAAATATATATAGTTTGTAAGGGGAGGACAAAAGTATGAATGAAAAGCAGAGGAAGGGGAAATGATTGAAGTGCAAGAATTCTGGGACTGTGTTTTTCTTTTCCATACTCTTCTTACACACTCGGATTCATTTGTTTAAACACTTCGCAAAAGTACAAGTAGGGCATATTTAAGTAATGTTTGCATCTGGTACAGTAAAAGAAGCATCTCCTGACACTGTTTTAGAGCTCTCCATTCAATCAAAAACTGTCCTGCTCTCTTTTAAATCCCAGTTAGTTAGGAGTGCTCAGGTCTGGGCATGCCACAGATGCACAGGCAAGAAGGGAAGTGCAGTTTGGTGAATCATAGTACAGGGCTGTGTGCTACATCACAGGTGCCTGTCTCTTTGTAGTTCGTGGAGACGAAGTGACGTCTAGCTAAAGTTACCATCTTTTGCTTTTGCCAACTGAATGCATTCTAAGTATGCTATTTTCCTGGCTGAGTGGAAGAGTTTATTATGTCCTGCCACACTTGTGAAAAATGCTGCTTCTTTTTCCATAAAAACTGCTTATGCAGATCTTCACGATAACACTGTTGAAATGATGTCTTGCACAACCGTCTGTTTGCAATAGAAATAACCTTTTACAAGAACTACATCAGCAAGAGAGGTAAAGAAGCAGTTTTGTGGAAGATGTCTTTTTTTTTTCCAGACTGTTTCCCATACACTCAACATGGGAATCCTTTTACTCAGTCAATGAAAAACTGACAAGCAGATATTTTTTGTTTTCAGCAAATACCCTTTTCAGTCATAAAAGCCACTATAGCTTTGGGGAAAGACCGATGTTTCTCTAACTTTTAAAAATACTGTGTCTTTTTAACTCTCTCTATGCTCTTTCTGCCTTTAGTGACTAGCTGTTGGACAGGTAAGTGCGTGAGACCAGCAGCCTTTTCTTTTTACATACCTGGATTATGAAAAATAAAACATATATCCAGATTGTCATAAGACCTTATTTTTTCCAGCATTTTTTTGTCTGGCATCTTTTCTAAAACATAGGAGTACTTACAGTAGTACAGCTCTGGAAATTGTCCCTAGGAAAATTCTGTGTAATGGTGTCCCAAAGACAAACAAATCTCTTCTCTGTATATGATATTGGACAGCACTAATGCTGTAAATGTGTTACAGAAATGTGTTATTTGTATTATGAAAACATCATATTACATTACAGAAAAGCATTGTTCCTTTTTTTGTGAATTGCTATATTTATCGGAAGATGTAATTGAAAGACTGTCATCATTTTGGGGGAGATAATGCAATAAATTATATCTGCTATCATCAAATTTGATATTTGAAAAAGTACACAAGTAAAGCTTTCTATCGGATAGGTAGGAGGCATATATTGATTTTAATTAATAGTACTAAATTGTGAGGAGAAAGACATCTTTTTAAATGGGTTCTTTAGTTTTCTAAAGGCTATTAAGTGCCCTTTTATATTTCTAATGAAGTTTGTGCAGTGCCATACATAAATACATGCCTTACTCAGTTGCAGTTATGTGCCTGTAGTCTGTGAATTGTATTGTAGCTTTAGGCAGTATTAATATAATGCAGTAAACATATCTTTCCAAATAATGTTTATTTAGAGTTCTTCAAGCTGGAAAGGCAACCATATGTTCACCTCATAATGCAGAGCACAGTATAACGCATATATTCATCGATAATAACGTTTGTCCTATGCAAAACAAAAAATGTCTCTCAGAAGCTCAGTACTACTCTTTGCAATATCTAGGACATTACCTCTTTGAGGTGAGTAAAATAATTTTACTGATTGCTGTAAACAATGCAGTGTTAATAATAGGTATATGATCAGCCTGAATGTTTTGTAATTTGATTTAAGGTAAGAAAACCTTCTGATTCTGGGACTGTGTATCCAAGAGGTAGGAAGGCTCATGAATACAAATACCTGAAGGGAGGGTGCAAAGAAGACAGAGGCTGGCTGTGACAGGACAAGAGAACAGTACAAGCAGAAGCACTGGAGGTTCTGTCTGAAAGTCAGGAATCACTTGTTTATTTTACTGTGAGGGTGATGGAACACTATAAGAGGATGCCATCTGGACATGGTCCTGGACCAGTGCAGAATTCACTAGAATTTTTCTTACTATTTCTTTTAAGAGAGACACTCAGTAATTCATAGTTGTTTGCTCACCAGGTGCACTGTTCAGAACTTCTTAGTACTTTGATCTGGAACTACTCAAAAGCCTCAGAATATTCTTTTAGTATGGTAGTTCTTCAGACTCTGGGGTGACTTTATTCAACTGCTAATTGAAAATACTACCTTTGCAAACCAGTAAGAGCTAAAACTATGTTTGTTACTATTTGAAAACCCTTTGGATTCTTCAGATCCTGTGCTCCCTGTAGTAAAGCTGTTACAGAAGGATGAGAAGAAGGTTGGAAGGTCTTAATGTTTACATCCTGAACAAAACACAGCAATGTGGGCTCTTACTCTAGTGCTCACTCTCTTAATGAAACTTATTCAGGGAAACTGTTCTCATTTAAACCTTTCAGCTAAGATAGACACATTAATAGATGAATGAGTGTCAAGTTTTTATGGCTCCTCCACCTTTTATTGATCTCTATCAAAATCAAGTGTTTCTTGCTATGCACCTTGAATTCCTCCCATGTCTGATAACAGCTTTCCATCTTAACCAGTCCATTAATTTGCACATAACTTTTTTTCCCTGGATTTCATAAAAATAATTCACCTTAGAGGCCAAGAGAACATTGGTTTTCTATTTAAGTGAATCTGAAGAACTGAGAAAACTGCTAAGCTTCCTTGTCTCTTGAAAGGAAAAGAACAAAACATAGGCAATCAAATCGCAGCACTTGTCCAAACATACTAGGTTTCATCAAAGAATATTATGGACACACTCTTTTCTCTTTGTCCCAGAAGTACTTGGCATATAATTCATTTGATTGTTCCAGCTTTGTAAATTTGTATTCCTGCTATTTGACTGCTACTTCTAGCGAATATAAATCCTCTTCCTCCCCTGAACATCCATATATGTGTCCAGATGATGAATTCAGCAAAATAGCATTATTTTATTATTCTTTTCAGGGGAACTGCACTCATGTTCAGACTATTCTCAGTGTGAAATTTTTTTAACCAAGTCCTTGCTTCTTGTTTATATTTCAGTATCTATTCTTATTATCTCAGCCTAGTAAGTACTGTTAAAATACTCTCTGGACTGTCATTGGTGATTTGATTCTTCAAGGTGTCAAATTTATTAGTTTAGGATAGTAGAACACTTGCATGATTTTAGGGAGCTAGTCTCAAACAGTGACTTTAAATGCTTTGTTGGATGCATGCTGGAGTTCATAAATTTTGCTGTGATTGTACATAAATTGTTTGAATGTAACTGTTTTTATGAGCATGTTGAAAATAATGTGCACAAAGTGCTGCAAGAAGTAAAGACTAGTTAATGCATCAGAGTTCAGTTATCTTGGCTCTTCAAAAGCTGTTTAGACTCTCTACCAAAAATACTTCATCTTCTAAATGTGCAACCAACTCAATGCTTGTTTAGAAATACAGTTATGCACATGCCAAATACATTTGTTTTGAACTATACATTTAAGGGAAAATCTGAAAATAGAATGAGAGAATCCGTTATGAAAACACAGCTCTTGCTTCAGCCACAGGGATTGTGACCGAGTTAAAAGTCAGTTAGGAAAAATAAATATGGGGAAGGTCACAATGATATTTCTTATGCTACAGCTTCCTACAGCATCAGTAGTTTGTTTCCAAACCCCCCACTGTTTATCTGCTACATGATGTAAACCCTTAACCAATTGTGGAAACATACATAGGCGCAGAAAGGTTTACAATACAACATATAGATAGACTCAGCACATAAAAAGTTGGTTTGATGATTAGCTTTGAAACAAAGTTGTTTTTTTTTGCTCTGCACAGAATGAAATACAAAATACTGAAGATATCCAAATGAACTATGAAGATATCCAAATGAACTATGAAGATATCCAAATGAACTATCCAAATGAACCAGACCGAGCCATGTCTAAAATGCAACTTACTAGAATGAAAAATGCCATTATAAAACATATGTATTTTGCAGCGGTAAGCAACAGTTAATGCTTTGTTAGCATAAAATGTATATTTCGTTTTAGTACTGAGCTAATAAAGTAGGTAGTTTAAAACCTTTTGAAATAGTAATACTGCCTTTCAATCTGCAGTGTTTAATAATGCTATATTTACTATAACTACCATTAGTTAAATTATAATTTAGTAATGGCAATTGGTTGACATGGCTGTGTAGAAGACACAGTGAACTACTTGAAATCTTGGTATAATATATGAGATAAATAATAGCAAATCTTCAACAAAATTGAATTACAGTGTTTCTGTAAATTTCCTCTTATTTTTTCAAACTAATCATATCGTAGAGCTGGTATTTTGTTGACTCATATGAATGTTCTTTATCATAAGTCAAAAATGGAGCCAGTGCACTCCTTTGGTTCTATACTGGCACATATCTAATCCTGGTAAGAGTGCTACATTAGTAATTAAACCCACTATTTCATATCTAGAAAAAAAAACAATTACTCTGAGTTAGGATATATTATCTCGGTAGGTGACAGTGATGCTGATGATGGTGTGTAAGTACTCTTGTAGGATCTTGGTTACATGAAGTACTGAAGTTCTTAGTAGCAAAAGAATTAGAATTTTTAAGTCCTCAAGGTATGCAATTTTTAAACAGAAAATCAGCAAATAGAACACTCATGAAGCTTAAATCTATGCAGCTTCAAATGCTACATCTTCTATGGGTGATGTTTTATCAAGGCTATACCCCCCTGACATTAAAAAAAAAAAATGTTCACTTTTCATGTATATTACACACAGCAACTGCACTTGTTCAAATTATTAGGTAGTACATATGTACTACACATTACGTAGCGATGTGCAGATGGAGTAATGGTAATCCCAAAGACGTCTTTTCCTAAAGACTGTTTTGTAACATCTTTTGGTAAGGTTGTGACACTAGGTGATAACTAAATATAGCAATAATAGTAATACACTCTTGCACCTACTGCCAAATCTTTACATTATAGGTGACCTGCGAGAGGAATCCAAAGCCTGCATGAAAACACTTAGTGTTTAATGTCTAATCTAGAGAGAATGTCCTTTTATAGCAACCACATAACAACAAATAGGCAATAACAGGAAAAAAATGGAAGTAAAAACTGCCATATTTTATTCCTTTTGGGTCACTAATCCTCTATTTTATAATTTTACCATCCAAATATTAAAAAGACAAATATAAGGAGATTGCTATGTTGAATGTTATTCTTGAATGATGTTTAGTAAAAGTTGTTGTTGGGGAGTTTTATGTAGTATTTATTGAATGAGTTGACTAGTATCCAGTGTGTAGATTGACTTTATTCTGTTTTACAGACTGTTATCCACAGATTTGCTCAAACAGACCAGCTGAACAAATGCAATCCACAGGTAAGAATACTAACAAAGAGGGCATGCTGCATATATGGAATTTTGTTATGAAGTTAGGCAAACACACTTTCATTGTAAAATTAGCTTTCAAAAAAACATTTTAAAGTTTCTTTGTTATCAAAACTAATAAAATTATTAAAGCCTTAAAGAGCATCATTGGATGTTGAATGTTGTTTGTTCTTGCAATACTTTCAGTACTGTCCCTGTTACTACAAAGCCCTTTAATCCTGCTAGTTAAGAGAACTTTATCTACTAATGTAGAAAAAAAGAAACAAAGATGTACTGTGCAGTGTACTATGAGTTAGAGCATCTTAAATTATCCAAGCATGGTAGTTATGCAGTGACAATAAAGTGAAAGTGTACACAACTTTTAGCACTGCTCACCTGTTTTTGCTAGTAGGGACAGATTTTAGCCAAAGGTTGTCTCAATATAGAAAGAAGCAGTAGTTGTTCTTCCAACACATGCCTGAAATATCATTATGTGGGTTTTAGGGTCAACTGAAGCACAGATTGCAAGTAGAATACTTTGTTTTTCAATCCTGTTTCATAATTACTTTGACTTAATTTCTTTTTTTATACTATTTAATTTCTCTTTTTTATTTCTATTTTTTTTTTTATGGTAACTTCTGTTAGTTAAAAAGGGAAACACTTAAAGTATCTATTAGCTTCCTGTATTTCTTGGTAGCTGAAGATTCTGTATCTTTATGAGCGATACTACATAAATAGTTACTGCAAATCTCTTTTTTTCTGATTTCTTTTTATTGACACAATAAGGAAGGGAGGAGAAAAATACTTTTAAAACATGAACACCGCAATGCTTTGTCATGGTCCAACACCACCACTGATCGGCAAAATGCTGTGTGCATTTCTGCTCGTGAGCAGATTTGCATTGAAATTTAATCTTAGTGTTTAGTTTGTTGAATAATGGGATAAAAATTTTATGTTTCTTGTATGCCAAAACTGGGTTTCTGTATTCTTTAGAAAAATATAATTTTTTGTTTGGAAATTTTAAAACTAATTGTAATACTTTCCCTATGCATGACCTATCACTCTCTTACATTATTTTGTGGAATATTCACTGGTAGATTTTGCATCTGATACTAGGCTTTTATAGGCAGTATAAAAAGCCATATTTATGGCTTTTATAAACAGCTCGAAGAAAAATTTCCAGTAATACTAGTGAAGTAAAATCAAATCTACAAACTAAATTCACATGTTAGAACTACCTACTGTGTTCCACCAACTCAGTTTGCAGCTGCTAGGAAGGCTTATCTAAGTCTTCTGTTATCATCATCCCAAAAATATTTATATCTCTTTTGTCAGCTTTTCTTCCACATTATGCAAAGTAAAACACAACTTATTGTGTGTGGACCTTAATTTTTCATTTGTTTCTGCTCAAAGTGTTAATGATTGTACCAGCAGTGCTTCACAAGATACTGCTGATTCCTCATTAGTCAGAATGCAAGCCAGTAGAACTTTGTGCAGCTCATTGGCTATTCAATCTCTTTGATAATAGCTGTCTTCTGATACTGAAAAAAAATTTTTGCCTCAGTTGTGTATCACCCTTCTTTACCTCTTAGAAATATGCTCAGCCAGTTCTCCATTACCTCATCGTCTTGAATGCAATGCTAAAGGCCTCACACTATTTCCAAAACATCTTTGATTTAATGTATTTTCAAAATAATGCATCAGTGTTGCTTTTTTTTTCTAGTACCAAAATTTTCAAAATATAAAGGTTTCAGTCACAATATAAAAAGTTTCATGTTTGTGTGATCAACCAGATGCAGGTCAGTGGTAACATGCTTGTACTTGCACAGTATACAAGATCTTCACACATCTTAAATCCAGGCAGCATAACTGTTTCATTAAACAGTTTATGACTGCTCTTTAGATGTGCTGTTTGAATATAACTAACATTACAAAAGTATCTATGCAACCATTATTTCCAAATGAAATTTTAGTACAGATTTTAATGATGTATATGTGAATGAAAAAATTGAAATAAATGTGAGTTGCAAACACCAAATGTACAAAACCTTGATTAAAAGAAAATTGTATAGATGAACATCTTTATTTATTGTTCATATAATAATGCATGCATTAGGAATTATAAATGAAGCATTTACAGAAGAACTAAGTATCTAATGCTAAAGTGGAGTTCATTCACTGAGACTTCAGCTATGATAATGGTTATAATTTCGTTCTGAATCTTTTTCATGTTTGACCAGAGCCCCAAATGCTTTAAGCTTATTACTGGAGCATTTTTGGAAGCTATCTAATAGCAGTATAGTAGACTTCAAATCCACAACTGGACTTCAAGTCCATGTTAATTTAAAATTTTAACTAATTTTAAAATGATTGGCAGGATGTTTAGGTTGGATAATAGGAAAATTTCTCCTCCAAAAGCATTGTCAAGCACTGGAACAGGATGTCCAGGGCAGTAATGGAGTCACTATCCCTGGAGGGATTTAGGTGTGTAGCTGTGGCACTTAGGGACATGGTTTGCTGGTGGACTTGGTGGTCCTGGGTTAATGATTGGATTCAATGTGTTAGAGCTCCTTCCGAACCTAAACTACGGTTCTATGACTCTATCTTGAGTAACTTTATCTAATGTACATTAAAAGACAGGGCTTTTGGCAGAGATCATAAAGTCTGCAAGTTGTCAGGGACTAAAGCAACAATAAATTTATGTAACTATTTAATTCCCAGCAGTCTAATCAGTCATTTTACTGACTCTGCTTCTTCAGTTTTGACTCCTTATCCAAGTTTCTTTGAATTTACAAGAGCCTCGGGCTGTGGTCAAACAAAAAAGCAGGATTTCAAAAGAGAAGTTATTGGATATGGGGAAGCTGTGCTTCAATTAGTAATATCTCTGCAAGTAATTTGTGTGTCTGCTTTGGCTTGAACCTGAACTGGAGGAAAGGTATAAATAGCAATGTAGCTGAGATCTTCAATAGCATTATTTGTGCGTTTTGGAAAGCTGAAAGTACAGACAGTAACAGGGAAATTGCACAGCAGATACAGCATCTCATGAAAGCCATTAGATCTGTTTGGGTTCTTTGAAAGCCTGAAAAGTGTTTTGCATTGTCGTGAGTGGCAGAGAACAAGCAAGAAGCCCTGTGCCATTAAGATCTTCAGAGCTTTGAAATCCACTGGGGCCACTACCTGTGCAATCTGTAGTGTTAGATGCTTCTCTGACATTCTGTATGGGAATAGAAGAACTAGGGAGATTAAACAGTTACATTGTTTATAGTTTTATAATGTGTACCCTTAAATTACATATTTCATGGGTTTAATTATGTTTTTATTTATATTTTTATATTATATTTTATTTATATATTTTAATTATGTTTTTAATTATTTTAAATTATGTATTTCACTTTTCTCTGACTTTCTTAGCTGTTCCATAGTACTCACTGTCTTACTGCTTCAGCTGTATGTTGTGGGATGTACTGTGCACTTGGAAATACTAAAACTCCTTTTCATATTTTTCCAGAATAAATTGTCAACAAATTACCGAATGCGCGGACTGTAATTTTTTTTTTAAAAGCATAGATGTAATCTTATCTAAGAAGAGAAGCACATTCTGAAACCTAATATATTTTCAATGAAAACGTAGTTCAGGAAGAGGGAGGGCCTTTCTAAAACAAAATTATCTAGACTGGACCAGACGATAAGTAATTTTTTCTAGTTTAGTTGGTAATCATTCCTGTTACTTTAGGAATTATATTCTCCAATTTAGTACTCCCACTAAAATCATGTGCCACTTCCTCTCCTTCCTCTTGAGCAGGAGACACAAAAGGCAAAGATCGTGTGTTGAGATAAAAACAATTTACTGGAAACAGCAATGATGTAAGAAAATGAACAGTAGGAGCAACAATATTAATAACAAAAGGTAGAAGAAAAAAGGATTCATATTGAAAGCCTACAACAGTAAACTACTGGATGGCTCCCCCTGCTGCATTTTCTTGGAACAACCTTCTCAGAAGCAGGAGTCCCTTTGCCCTGCCCCAGGCAGTAACATGAGAATAACTTCCAGAATAACCTCTGTGTCTTAGCCATGCCCGCTCCTGGCTACTGCAAAAAGGAAAGAATGACTCTTGTCCTGACCAGAACCAGGACATATATTACCAACATTTTACTTAGAAATTTCCTGTTGGCTAAGTTAAGTTAGATGTGTTTTTATTTAAGCTGTTATTTTATTTATGAAGATGTCTCATTTCTAGGTTAAAAGTACTGATTTGTCCAGAGGCAGTTGGTATATACTTCAAGGATTAGTGGAAGAACATTTATTTCCTGATGTAATCACAGAACTTGCTGCTGGCCAGAAGTACCGTATACCTCCCGTGCAACTTCTTCATTCTCTTCTAGAGTATTTCCTATTGGTGAGAGCTGAAGGCTAAAGTATTTTAAAAATTAAAGCAATAAATGGAAGTATTATGATCTTTGCTCCTGACATTCTGTTTAGTAGTTTTTAGTGATGTGTTCTCTATGTTCATCAATGTGCTTGTGTTACCAAAAAAAAAAAGAAGAATTTAATACTTAAAGATTTCTTCTGTTTTTAATTAATATTTATTTGCAAGCCATATGAATGTAGTGCTCTCAGTATTGTGGAAGGCTTGGTCCCAAATAATTTTTGTTACATTTAGAAACAGCACTATGCTAGTAGGCCACAGGTAGAGACATCAGTTGAGAAGGTTTGTTCTAAACTGTGCATTCAGCTGGAATATGACTCTAGAGTAAGTTCTTTTTTTTTCTTCCTTTTTTTTTAAACTATGATTTTTTTCTGCTTATAGTTATGCATTAAATTACGTGTAACTTCAGTGATTAAAAACAGTCTTTTGGTATTGTAAAGAATAAGGAAAATAAATAAACTTATTGAATATGGATCTTTGGCTGGTATGAAGCCATTATTATTTTCTCATTTTATTACAGGGAAATGCTGATGCAGTATTTTTTGCCAAAGTTTGTCACGTTTTGTACCTTATTCTCCAACGTGATCCTCCCTGGAAGTCCCTGTCTATGTTGAAGTATTATTTGGATCTTCTTCAGTGTCCTATCTGTAAGAAAGGTACATGGTCTTTGATAGAGATGCTTGTAAGGTAAGAAAGTTTTTAATGAGATACTGGATGCAATAGTTGTTATGTTACTCCAAACTCAGGGACAGGGGAGGAAAATTTACTTCCTATTGCATCAAAGTCATGTTTTCACCAGAATAAGTTACCTGTACGTGAAAGTGTAGAATTGTAACAGATTTGGACATTTCACTTAATATTTCACAAAGTGTTAGCTCACTGTCAGATGGATTTTTTTTTTGAAAGAAAAATATGTACATTTTCTTAGCCTTCTTTCTTTTTAAAAAATGTTTTATTTTACTTTTTATGCTCTCCGCAAGTTATAATAATCTATGTATTATTGCTATTGTGGTATGTATGTGTATAGATACACACAGATAGATACGTCTTCAGTTATAATGAAAATTCAAGCTTTATCTTACCAAACATGAAGTTTCATGTTGTATTTTGATTTTAATTATAACCTCCACCATCTTATTGAGAAGTCTGATTATATCTTATACCTCTACAAATGCAAGACAGTACATAGGAATTGTTTGGGTAGTTAGTCTCTGCTTTATCTTAACTCATTGTTTAAAATTTATACCAATAGAATTTAATTATTCTGTTTATTTGGAAGAGAAACTATACATCTTTTTATTGCTATCATAAAATCTTAACATTTAAATACATTGATACAACTGTGATTACACATATATAAATGTGTGATTGTAAGCATGTCTTGAAGGGCATTGAATCAGTATAACTGGACATTTAATAGTTTTTATTAGGAACACGTCACATGTAGTAGAAGAGAATTTGTTTTTTGATGAGGTATGTTATCTTTTAGTACTTACTGCAGAATGTCAGTTCCCAGCAGTTGTATACCTAGTGGTGCTAGTACTCAAAATTCTAGCCAAAAAACGTGTTTGCATGTTACTTAAGAATTATCTCCATCATACTTGACAGTCTGTAGTCCTGTCAAATGGTATGTGTGAACTGCTATCTGAACTAAGGTTTGTAGGATGTTGCAAATGTTACAGTGTCTAAAGAATATTTTAAGATTATCTTGTATTTAAAGGATTTTAAAGAAGTTTTGTTAAATGTAGTAATTGTACAATAACTCAGGTAGAGACAGACAAATGAAATACAGTGGAAATTATTTAGTTTACACTATTATAAAAATCTTTATCTGGAACACAGAAGCTCAGTCACAAACATGTTTTTTGTTTTGTTTTCTTTTCTTTTTCTGAAAAGAGCTTTTAAACCAGAAAATTAGGCTTTAAAATATTGAATGTTGCTGGGGAGCAAACTATTTCCTTGTCAAAACAGTCAAAACTCAAAGATGACTTTTTTGCCGCTAGATCAGACTATGATTGCTGTCATACAAATGGATATTCTGGGTTTTATTTTTCAGGTCTTGCCTTTATGGCAAAACCGTTTGTCATGTGGAACCAGTTTCAGGGAGAGAAGATGAACAGAAGATAGTTCACAAAACATTATTGAAGTTTTTCTTTGATTTAGTAAAAGCTGAAGTAGAGTTTCTGAAAAAAAGGTGGGGTTTATAGGATAATACTTTCTTATTTTTCTCAATTTCAAACGCATTTCTTTACCTACAGCAGCTTGTATCCTGATTTTTTTATATCCCTGTTAAGATACTGTTCTACAGAGATGGCAGGTTAGCATTTTCTTTTTATGTCTCAGTTCTAAGTTTGTTTATTGTAATTTGTATAGACGTTTTCTAATCATGTTTTAAAGCCTTTTACTTTTCCAAGCCTGTTATTTCACTATATTACAAGTTTCAGTGAGCACTTGATTTTGCTCATGTTGTATTTTTAGCTTTGCATTGCTTCAGTATTCATCCTTTGAGGTAGACAAGCAGCATTTTGAACATACTGATCTTTATGTTGGGGTTTTTTTTAAAAATTCAATTAACTTATCTTCCTACTATCTTAGGGAGATAATTGTCTTTCCTTGGTTTATGAAGTATAAAAGAAGTCTCAGTTTTTCTCTGCCTTTATATAGTAAAGGTGGCCTTTACTTTATGTAAATATTGGCACAATATTCCCCCAGTCTAACAGTCTAATAGTCATCATTATGGTACTTACTATTCAGAAACTGTGTCTGATCTTTCCATGTTTAAAAATTGCCAAACCTGTATGTGTTTTGACAGAAGACAAGGTTTCTGTCTGGTAATTGTAATAAAAAAGTGGCATAAAGCTTTAGGTTTTTTCCCTTTTTTTTTACAGTTTGGTTGAAGGGATCAATTCACAGCATCAGCAAGTCATGCCACAGACAGTTCTTTTGAAGACATTTTGGCTAGGAAGCGGAACCTCAGTGCTTTTTACCAAACACATAAATATTCTAGCAGATTGGGTCATACTTTCCCACAGAGAATTGAACAGAAAAAATGATGTGAGTATGAATTTTATACTTTAAAATAATGAAGACTGACAATTTTTTTTAAAGACATTCTTTGTTCATTCTTTTGTGAGGAATTATATATAAGTATCACAGCTGCTTGTTATATCTGCCTTTTGTTGTGAAGCATGCTGGTTTTTGCTCCACTAAAGGAAATGAATTGATCCGTAAGATTCTCATATAGATGTGTAGAGAAGAAACGAGTCATGAGTAGTTTGTTGGCTACATTCAGATGTTCACATGCCCTTACCAGCAGGTATTACTGTAGTTATTAGGGACACCAGCTTAACACATCCTGTCAAACAATATGGTGTAACGAAAGAGGTGATTATCGTATTTTACAGTGGTAGGATTCAGGAAATGTTTGAAAGAGAAACCTAACAAAACTAATACCTTTTTGCTATTTTCTACAGATATACATTATTTTACTCTAATAAATGCCCTTTTTCTTCCCAGTTTTTTTTTCTTCCCAAGTCTTTTAGTTTCATTTGGTATCTTCCCTAGGACTTTTCATAAAAATGGAATTGAAGACAACTTAATTGCTGTTCTGTGACCTGCTGACCAGCAGGACATTGACCTGAAAGATACTGAGTGTCCTCTATACCACCTCTTTCTTTTCAGAAGCAAGAGGCCTTGTAAAATGTCTTTGACTTCTAGATTCTAACATAAAATAAAAACTTAACTGCTATCTCTGCATTCTCTTTTAAATTATTGTGAAAGCACAGAATAAATAGATACTTCATTCACTTTTTCAATACAGTAACGGAACAATAGAAAATCAAGTATTCTGGAGAAAAAAAGCACTTTCAATATAATACCTAGTAGTTCTTCATTATGTTATGAAGGCAAAAAGATGAAACATAATGAGAGCTTCATGCATCTTACCTAGACAGACCTCCTACCTTTTTTGAGGGCTATCAAAGCAAAACATTTTTAAACAGTGCTCCTTTTTATCCTTGGTCAAGATATTTTAAAAGTGCCTAAAATTAGGCTTCTATACTCATATTTATATTTAAACAACCTACCTTTTCAAAGTTACTGAGCACCAAGCAGACTTATATGCAGTTGGTATCAGTGACTATTCTGTTTCTTTGGAAAATGTAACTGCTTTCATATTTTTCCTAGTGTTGAATCTGCAGTTTAGGTATAGACACCATTTGCTTTTTTTCTGCTATTCCTTCTTTTGACAAGTTTGAGCCCTGTAAGTCATACCTTTTTCATAAACCTTTCTTTGCATTGTCACATTAATCACTTGTGTCAGACTGTATATATGAAGAATAAGCTTAAAAAAAAGAACAAAACATAACATAAAACACAGAGATCTACCTCTTGTTTAGATTGTTTGCTTTATATACATATGTAAGAATTGTGGTTTCAGCACAAAACCCAGATGCCTGTTGCTTTCTCACTTTGATCTTATGCACTGTAATGTACAGTATCCCTGCAGATATGAATTCTAGCCTTAAAAAGAAGCTTGTTGCCTCATAATATATGTAGAGTTTTTATGTTATTTCTAAGAGCCTTATTTATTTATATATTGCGCTGCACTTTCTTTCCCATTACATTTTTTGGCAAAGATAAACTCTAAACCAAAATACCATATTTTTATAATCCAGCTTGTCATTATCTCTTCCTTCGCTCTCAATCTTATTAAAATGATTTTTCTATATACTCAGAGACTCCTTTTAAAATTCCATTACATAGTTTGAAAGGTCATTTGGAAAGCCAAAAGAGCAGATCCTCCCCAGCTGTGCAGGCAGAATTGTGTTTTCTCCTTCCTTTTTATCATTTTAAAGATGTATAAATCACAGTATTTCTGTGTCATTAAATATAGCATACAGAGTGCAAAATTTTCCTTCAGTTTGAGAGTGTGATTAATTGTTACCAGTTTTGGTTTTAAAAGCTGTTCGTTTAAGAGGAAACACCTTGACTTAGGTGTTCAGAAACCTAATTAAAGGAATGACTTTCAGTATTGTTACTATCTGCATGGTCACTGAAATTAAGTGATTTATAGCACAGTTTAAAGGACTGACCGTGTTTCCCAGTATATTAGGTTGTGAGACGAAACAAACATGCCAGTTGTGATTACATGCAGTTCTTCAGTGAAAATGTCTGTAAATAGAAACAGATGAATAATTTAACAAAATTCTTCCTTGGGACATATCTAATGTAATCTTTTCTAAGTGTTAAAAATGGGCAATTATTAATTTTTTTAGCTTTTTACAATCCTATTCTCTCTTTTTTGATTCAAGGAGATTGCAACAAATAAGCACTTGAGTGCAGGGAAAATATTTGTTTCCTCTCTTCTAGTGCTGATCTGTTGCAAAATTATGTTTTATTTACGTGTGTGTTTAAACACGCTATGTGAAAAGAGCAATCAAAAAAAAAAAAAAGGAAAACAAAGAATGAGGCACTATAAAGACTCAAGTTACATATATGAATGCATTTGCTTTCTGGTGTTAGATAGAATTTGCAGTATCATAAAAGCACCAGAATAAAATTTGTGACAGGAAATTGGATGCCCTTATGATTGCTGGGTTAATCTGTTGGTACAGCTTGGAGGAATGAAACTGAAACACTATTTTTGTAGTTAAAACTGTATTGCTGAAGAACATGGAAGTTTTTCCATCACTTGAGCTTTTCAAATTAATAGTAAATATAATTTTAATATACATAATGTTTATTATTTGTTATATTATTTAAACGGACTTGATGCAGGAATTCCTGGTCAAAGTTCCTTGAATCAAATTTGTCAGTTCTGTTTTAGAATTTGCACCTGGAGTAGCATTGCATGGCTTTTCACAGTGTCACAGTTGGTATCAGAAGTGCTTTTCATCCCTGAAAATAGTTTTGTTTGTTTTTTTTTTTAAGAACTGTCTTATGTAACCTGACAAAGAAGTGAAAAAGGCATTCATTCTGGTTCTTAGTTGCATATTATGAATTTGTGTGGTGTAAATTTGCAGACGTAAAAGTCTTTCCGGTCTGATCACTTCCAGTGGCTTTTTTGGAAGTATGGCATTTTTGGAGTACTGCATTTACACCACATGAAAAAGGACACAAGAGAACAGTTCTAAAATAACTCTGTAATTCAAAACAAAAAAGATTAATTTTCCTCCAGCTTAAAAGCTTTCCTATTAGCACTTTTATGTGTACTAAAAGAAATTGTGGAACTTCTGCCACTGTAGCACTGTACTTGACTTGGCAAACCATTAAATGGAACAGCAATGTAGTTACTGGGAAAGGCAAACACCATAACTTCGAACATGCTCCCTTCCTCCTCCTTTCACCAGCTTTTATTGCTGAGCACAATGTTTAGAAGGTCTGGTCATTTTGGATCAGCTATGCCTGCTATGGCCCCTCCTAGCTTCTTGTTGTAGGGGCAGAGTGGGAAGAAGGCCTTGTCACTGTCATACATGGTAGCAAATTCCATGTTTAATGGAAATGCTCTGGTTTTTTTCCTTTTTAATATTGCATGTGTTTTCATTGCTATGTTGGTATTGTTTTGTGGTTGAAAATATTTTTAACATGTCAGTATTTGAATATTTTTAGAACATATGACCCTTTCAGAAAATTTCAGCAATTTCCCCCTCATTTGTAGCATAGGACCATTTATTTTGAAATATTAAGGAGAAGCTCTTGATTTGTCCTACTGGTTTTTTTACTAAAATGTCAACCAAGCCTTCTCCAGTTGGCAGTATCTGGTTTGTCTCATTAGCATGCAGAGACACTTAATTGGGCAAACATAGCTGCAAGTAGTATATCAACTGCATTTTATATGCAGCTATATACCTGAGTATGAAAAATTATTAATACTTGCAGTATTAACAGACATTATTTCAGTATTCTGCCTCAAGGTCTGCTTTCAACCTCACCATTTTCTTGAAAGTATTTCATAAAGGAATTAATTAAGCTTGTGATTTAGAAACAAGAAAGAGAATGTAAATACTTGTACTTTACATCTGTATCTACCTCAGATTATATGTCTGTGTCATTGATTCTGTCACTTAACCTCTGTTAAAATTGTGCTTATTTGCTGCATTTTTGAAATTTATTTCCTACAAAGAACTATTGATGGAAATAAATTATTCATCCAGTATTTTGCTTTGGGGTCCAATGATAAGAGGTCTGGATACTTAAAGAAATTTAAATGCATTTCAGATGTTTTAAATTGTTCTTCGTTTTCTGTTCCTGAATCCTCAGAAGACAGGGAGTAATGTACCCTTCTTAATATTTAAATTTTAGTTGAAAAAAGCTATTTTCAGGTTTTTAACATCCATATCAGTGTTCTAAGGGATTTTTAATTGTGAGATTGCACAGTACATCTACAATAAAGTATTATGACACATTAAAGCAAGGGGCAAACCAAATCAAGTAGAGCTTAGCAGAGTAAGAGGAAGTATGACTGGAAGCAATCTGGGAAATCACATTCCTAACTGATTTTGTCTGGCCACTTCTTAAAAACCTTCAGTGATCAAGGTTATGCTGCCACCCCACACCATGTTCATTTGTACTTGTGTTTATTCCTTTTCTTTAGAATAACTGTTTTTCTTTTCTTTTGAATAACTTTTCTTTTGAATAACTGTTAACTATAGGGACACTATTTATGTAAGTTTTTTGACAAATTACTTTATAATGTTTTTCTTACAAAACTCATCTATGTCAGAGTCTCTGTTGCTCTTAGGTATGTCTGTTTGACTTGTGTTCAAACTGGTTTTGGTGCTTCTGAGCTCCTGAAGGAGTCCTATTAAATTATTTTAAACCAACCTAGAATATATTTTCTTCTCAAACAGAACAAACCATTGATTTGGGTGTGTGTACATATTCAGTTCAATTTCCCTCTTAATCAGAATTGTCTAGTTTCAAGTACTCCTCTTTCACTAGATGCCATGTATCAACTGCTGCTCTAGTGTAACAGTAGTGATTTTTTTGGTAGAGCCTCAGGTAGGTGTCTTTGGTCAAATGAATTTTGTGTGTTCCTACTATGGTGCATGTGTTCTTTCAAGCTGTGCTTTTATAGATAAGTTTTCTGTACATGTGGTCAGAGGAATAACTTACTTCAGAGTCGTTGCGTAAGGTATTTCTACATGGCACAGAAAAGCATTCAGTAGCCAGATAAGATTTCACTTTGCACAGACTAACTAAGACACTACAAACACTGCTTCACCTAAGCAGTACTGATAAAGTTCTCACATGGGTGAGCAATTGCTTTGTCTATCCATAGTAGGCTATCCATGTCTGGATAGCATGCTAAATTCCTGTATATTATCTTGATGGCTCCTGAAGAAAATACATTTAGGCTTTTTTATTTACACATGATCATCTTGTGCCACAGGGGAGAAAACGGTGAGGCTAATACCCGAAGGTATGTGTTTTTCTCGAAATTTGCACCTGCTAGTCTATTTAGAAAGAAGTTTCCCTTTGCAAAGTGGCTGCCAAAGATTTTTGTGTTGCAGGACACTAACACCTTCCACCATCACAAAAGGAGCTTTAATTTCATGGTGAAGTCTTTAGGAAAAGAGAATCCTAATAGAGCAGGGAGAAGAAAAGCCTCGTATTGTCAAATACAAGGTTAACTGGAATAAGTCCAGTACCTGAATCTTACGGTTAAACAAAACCCATCTTAGAAAGAAATCACATAATTGTACTGGGTAAGCTTTGATCCCATTTTGCATATTGATTTAGACAGGATGTTTCAAATAACTTGTTTCGCTCCAGTGTGAAATATTAATTGGTGTGGCATCAGTGACATTAATTTTGTTGACCTGGCTGCAACAGCTAGGTTTTGAGCAGAAAAAGAAAAGCAAGTGAAGGAGTGATATGGCAACAGAGTAGGCTTTTATCTAAAGATATCCTCTTTATCATAGACCACATTATTGCTGGTACATTATCAGTGTGAATTTGTTATACAGTACAGGTCTATAGACGCTCTTTGTTTTTTTCCATTTAGGCTTTCAGATGTGAAATTGCTGGTCTATTAAATGCAATTCTTGGAACTGTAGTGGAGTATTGGATCATCTCAGGTTTCCTTATGGACAGAAATGTGTTTCGTCAAATAGCTGATGATTTGGCACAGTACCTTGCCATTTCGTCTGATGGTGAGTGTTAGCAAGGTCTCTTAAAAGTCTTCTAACCAGGTACACTAAGTCCTAATAAAATCCTTGGTTTACTTTCAAGTTATTTTTTACGTCCTGTTGCAGCTGTGCACTCTGGTAGTATGGTGTGTGCGTATGCAAGAAAGTGTTTTATTGTCTGTCTGTTGGTGTCAAGCAAAGACCAAAGAGAAAAGGCTTTCGTCTTAAAATCCCTCTAAATAAATCTCATTAAGTATTAATGTGAAAGCAAGACTGCACAGTGTGAGGAAGAAAAAAAATCTTTGGAGCTCTCTTGTCAGTTTAAGAAAAGCTTTAAGCATATTATAGTAAAACTTAAATACAGAGAAGCACTTGGAGACACCTTACTTAATTCAGGCCAATTTTGTTACTCCAGAATACCAATAGTTTGCTAAAGACACTTCAGCTGTAAGTACAAAAGCTACACTGAACTCATTGACTCCTACAGACTTCAAGTGAAACATATCAATGTCTCATTCCAAATCCTTAGACTTAACAGACTTTATTTGGGAAGTGGGGGAAAATTTCAATGAGTTCTGTGAATGACTGTTGTTCCCCTTCATTAAATATACTGGTTACAAAGAAATGTCATGACTCAAATAATCACAATCATCTACCATGTAATATCAGTTGAGGTATCTGTACTTTTAGCAACTAGGAGTTGCAGAACTCAAAAGACCAAAAAAATAATATCAAGAAAAATACTTAATTATTTTAGTTTCATTTTCAAACTTAAAGCCCACCCCTGCTCTCTCTAATGCCTGCATTTAAGAAATATGGATATTGTGGTCTCAGTCATCATTTTCTGTAGTAGCAGATGTATGTAGGCTTCATTTGAAGTGTATCTGCTTTTTACCTGGGCACTTGAGAACTATCCTGAAAAAAAAATTAAACTAAAATCTTAATCTTGGGACAAATATTTCTACTCCAGTCTTACAGAAAGCAAATTATCAGGACTGTTATAGCCTGCCTTGCATCTTAGAAAGCCAAATCAGTTGGAACTTTGTAGTATTTAAATCACTGGAACTTTTAGTTTGTACTGCTATTGCTACCTCTTTAACAGATTTTCTAACTGTCCTAGAATAAGGATAATTTTAATTACATATTTCTGTAAGACTTTTTTACTTTCCTATACATAAATGGAAAACAAGAACAGCATTCGCAGTCTGTTTATAAAGAATAAAGATTCTTTGACCTTGGTACAATGCAGAGCTCTTAAAGCAAAATTGTTGCAGAGTTTTTCTAAATTCATTTGCTCTTACAGTAGAAAACATCTGTACTCTCAAAACTTGTGTTTTGATTGAGTCTACAGATCAGTTAATTTGTGAGCACTTCTTAGCAGAACAGAATATTTCCCCAATGTAGTAAAGACTTCCTTCCTCATGGCAGTCTCCACCTGTTTCACTTGTTATTTTGACAAAATTATTTTGCTAGAATCAAAATACAAATTCATATCACTGTAAGAAAAATCAATCATTCTGTCTCATTCTCCAAAAAAAGAGAGGTAGGCCAGACATATGCCCGATATATATTGAGAAATATATAGATATATAATTTCTCCTGCCACTGAGTGTTTTTTTTAAACAGTATAAGCTATTTGATACATCTGAATGGGGTTGCAGTTTGCTTACAGTCACTGCTAATGCAGAATTTTTTATTGTTTATGTGTTCCAACTCTTATCTGAACTTGTATCACTTAGAGATTTAAAAGGTGATCACGTGCATAAGTTCACAAATAAATAATTTTATTCTCAAAATAAAGGTTTAAGTTTTATAAGAGTATATTGAGAGCATTTTAAAAAGTTTCACTTTTTAAAAGTGATAAAAACTGATGCTTTTCCTTTTAAAACACCTTAAACATTCTCATAGTAGTTGGTCATTATCTTAGATAATGGATAAAATGTATTTTAATGTGATTATTTTTAGTAATTCTTCTGGAGAATAACTTTTAAATCTGTAACAGGTCAAAAAAAGTCTGGAAGAGCTATCTTCTGGATAACTAGATGTATAGATTTTTGCATTCTCATTTTAATACTCAGTTTATGTTTTTTAACGCCCATTGCTTTTATCCAGATTTTTCTATATGTGAACTAAAAATGTTCATTTGTGCCATACCATCCCTCTGGCTTCAAATGTTTGTTTCAGAAGCAATTTTAAAACACATGTGTTTACAGAGGAATATAGCTGTTCCTACAGAACCTCTTTCTCTTCAGAAAATAGTGAGTAACTCTTCTACTCGGTAATAACTTTTCATACTTCAGTATTTTATGAGTAATTTGGTTTATAGAAGTCTTGAAATTTTTTTTTTTTTGTGGTCTAAGGTTATGCTTTTTGCATGCATTGTCTTCCACGTGTTCCACTGCATATAAATCCCTCTTTGCTTGAGATCTGGGTCTAGAACAATGGTAAGATTTTTTTTGCCAGAGAATTTGTCACACCTGATTCATTTGTTTACATGCAGTTAACTTAAAATCAAACAATGAAACAATAGTGAATAAAATAAAAGCTTTCAAAAATAATCTCTAATGTAAATAGTTTATTGCACTGCTGCATTTATAATTAGGAAAATGCCAAATAGTGTGAGTTTCCTGGGCTACCTTCTAGTTTTTGAAGAGGTGACAGTCTATTATTCTGCTGTGTCCAGGCATTTGTTACATACAAGATTTTATGATTTTGAACCACCATGATTTTGAATTTGTATTCCTGTGAATTTCTCCTCTTAAAAAGTTTCTTCTACTTACAAACCTTTGCCTGCCCTCAAATCACAATTTGTGATAGTTTGTGAGGACATACAGGATGAAAACTGTGAAAGAAATCCTTAAAACCGTGACTGCTGGCAGGTTGCAGGCTAATCAGAGCGATCACACGATAATGACATGCCCTAACTTAGGGCATCATTTCAGTTGTCGTAGTACCAATGCATAAACAGAATATGGAATCCATAACCATTTCTCTGTTTCTCTAAGTCCTAAAATTCTGCAGTTAGAGTCACAGAAAAACCAATTTACATCTTCATACATTTACCATACATAAGTTTTCTTGAGTTTTACAGGGGTTTATTGTGAACAGAGGTCATTGTTTATTAATACAGTATGTTTAAACAGAGCTTAAACAAAAGACTCAGAATTTTAAAAATAAGCCAACTGTATGTCTAATATTTAAGTATATTGCCCACACATGTAGCAGGATTGCTATTTTTAGTATTGCTATGACTACTGATCACTCTCTGCAACTACTGAAATGTAAATTTTTACAGTGCTTGAAACAAGTTCATGTGCTTTTTGTGGCTTTCCTTAGTATTACTATGTCTCCTTTCTTATTCCATATAATAAAAATTAACTATCATCCAGTTTTGTGAGTTCTTCTCATACAGCGTCTTATCAGCTGGGCTTTTCTTTGGGTTCAACAAGTGACATCCTACTCCCTGGTGCAGTGAAGGTGCAGCTAAGGTGTCCCTTGCCCACAGCACATTGCCTGCAGAATCTGCAGTGATCTCAAGTAATCTAAATACTGAGTACTAAAAGCCTTCTGTAATGCCTTTCTTCAGATATAGTCATTGTGTTTTCATTGAATGAATCCCCTCTGTGGACTTTTTCTTATGTTTTTGTCAAACTGCAGAAACTTGGATGAATTTTTTAAGTGAGCTATAAAAGTAAGTTTGAAGTTCTGTGTTACTGGAAAGAAGCAAACATATCTAGAACAGCCAACACTGTCTAAATAATGAGCGAGCACTAAGAGATCACTAGCTTATTCTCTTTAATTGCTCAAAGACTTAGTCCAACCCTTCATCTTAGAAGACATGAAGGAGAGGAGTGAGTATTTCTTTATCAAATTGCTCCCTGGGTTGGGAGCAGGAAGTTTATAAATTCTTTCATTAAATACATGAAAATCAATTAATTGAACTCCAGTCTTATGTCCAGCTAAAGTGATCCAAATTTTCTCAGCTACCAAAAACCCAAGAGACATATCTAGAATTTTCTAATTTCTATCTCAGACACAAGCCACTCACTTCTGAGGCCAGTGTAAAGAGTGAATTACAAGAATATAAAAAAAAATTGCTAAGGACAGTTTTAAACTATGTACAATAATTCAGTGGTCAGATTTTTTAAAATTTAGATGCAGCAAGCTGTGGGTCATAGATGACTGCTTTGCAGCAAGAACAACAAAAGAAAATTACTTCATTTTAAAAATACTACTTCTGCAACAGGTCTGTTCCTATTTGCCTGCTTTGAGAGAGATAGCATTGCATGAGACAAAGATACACAAAGCAAAGAAAAAGAAAATAGGGCAACATCCATGCCCTGAGTCTCAAAGGGCATTACAGATGCTAAATGGCGATAAGCAGAACCAAGTCAAAGTGCTGCCTGATCTACCGTAAGTAATACCTATAACATCACCAGTTTTATTCTGCTTTGGGGGACAGCTTCTGACCTGACACATTTCTTGAACTTTATATGACCTGTTTTGTTGTCTACAAATTACTGCAACTGACAGAAAGCTCCATTGTAAACCTGTAACACCTCTGGGCTGGGGTTTCCCCCTTTCTCTTTGATCATCAGTTTCAGTGTATATGCAGGCTGATGTAGCTATATTTGCCCAATATTAAATTTACAGGGTACATGGAGAAGTTGAACTGTTCATAGAATTACCTTTAAAGAAAGTTTAATTGTGGGCAATGGAATTTTATTACTGTTTTAAATAGTTATAATTAAAGAACATAGAAATTATGTAATTAAGACATTTTAGAAATAGATCTAAGTATGCTATACAGACAAATTTAAAAGCACTAAGTATATATACATTATCTTAAAACATGAAATGGGGATTTTAAACCTGTCCCCTTTACTCTCTTTTCAGAGACCTAACCTTTAATAAGCTTACAGCAAAAGCAGAAGTTCAGACTGCACACACCAAGGAGAATTGTTATCTTTTGGATGAAGAGGTATACAAGAGAAATATTAAAGGTATTCTATATATCTAATTTATATTAAATATATTTATATTAATTTATATTAAATGGTTAGAATTTATATTAAATGGTTAGAATTGACAGTTTAAAAACTTATCCTGATGAATGCTGAACTAAAATGATGGCTTATGCCCAATCATTATTTTCTTATAGTTCATGTTTCTTTTTTGCAATGTCTTTTTAAAAGGTGGTATTATATATATGGTGCAATAAAGTTGCCTTCTTCATTACCCTCCTCCTCCCAGATATTAAATACAATGTACAGCTTGTGTGAGCATATTCCAGTCTTGCCTGTCTTACTTTGCTAATCCACCTCAACCTGTGCTTGGTAGGATCAACGTCTTCTGATTTGAAAGTATAATTCAGTCTTCATCTCTGAGTCCTAGACATTTTGTGAACAAAGACTGAGGAGTATGCTATGTTGCATAGCTGTGTTAAGCATATGGACCATTTTCTTCCAGGCATTCAGCCCAGACTATGAAAGGCATTTGGCTTTTGTCTTAGCTATACTGGAACTCAAGTACCTAAGGAATAGAACAGTATTGCAGTAATTCATTTGTTTCCTACTCATTGCACAAATTTAATAAATTGTATTTTGCATGAGCCTTTGCTTGAACAGAATTACTTTCTGGAACTACTTTTAGTCCTCTTCATCATAAGAATTTTACCTATGACTATATTAATATGATACCCAAGAGAAGGCTCAAAAAAAAAAAAAAAACCTGATAAAAGCAAGCTGGGATTGTTCAAAAAATAAAAAGAGAATTGTAGCAAAACGCTGAAGGATAAAAGAAAACCTCACCTGCTTTTGTTATTTAAGAGAGCTTCAGTAACAGAACCAGACCATACATTTTTAAAATTGGTTCCCTTTCTCTTTATTGCTTTTGCAAGTAAATTTGGTGTAAATTATTATGTGCTGACTTCTACAAAGAGAAGTGAGCTGAAGGACTGGGTGGGGGCTGGGGAACAAACCCTGCTTTTTTTCTGTTCTTCCTCTGCCAAAATTGTAAGTAGTGTCTTCTGTTGAAAGAATGAGTATGGAGCTGACAGATTTACATAGTGAAGGTATTAATATAACAAAATGTTCCATGTAAATCTTATCACAAAGGCTGAGATTTAGCCTGAGATATTTTGAATTTCTCAGATGTTTGGTGCATCATCTTTCACCTGGCATCAGGATTTTCTTCTGGCTCTTATTCAAACCTAATCAATTATTGAAAGCAAAAGAGCATTTAGAATGGGTCTGAAGTTTTTATTATGCAGAAACTAATGGTGTCTTTATATATAAGCATCAGCTCTCAGTTGCTTGTTGTTTAATTTTTCACACTTATTTCAGCTTATGTCAGTACTAGGGGTAGGGATTTTTTTCCAGAGGATTTTCTTATTTTATTATTATTACTATTTCTCTCTTTTTCTCCTCCCTTGCTACTGTAGCCAAGTCAGACAGCCTATTGAGAAACAGCAAACCATCTGTTAACGGATTTGAAGTTCTGAATTATACTTGAGTGTGTAGAGGCACTCGTGCTTAGCCAGAAACATTCATTTTGAATTAAGCTATAAATGCTGTGTAAAAAGAACCATACATTTTAATGTAGGTTCATGAATAAATTTAAGGGAGGGCAACTGCACTCTAAAGTTTTATTGCTTCAAAACCTGGTATTTTTTGGTGTTCTGTGATCACTTGGTGCTTTTATAGTGTGATTGAAGCTTTAAACCTTGAACTGGAGGGGAGATAATTCTTTGTGTTAAACCGTTTGCAATACAATTTCATTGCTGGATCTCTGGTGGAACAGAAGCTCTGTGTTTTTTTTTTTCCTTAAAAGATGGTTAAAAAGGATAAAGGAAAATCTTAGTTATTATTGAGTTTTCTGGTACACAGCCAGCTCTCCTAGTTCCAGGCACTTTGATTATTTCCTTTAGTTGCTATCTTGCCTAGTCTAGTGTAATCTATTAATTTTTCATGGTAGGAGAGACAGCCCTGCATAAAGCTTGCATAAGTAACAACGTGGAGAGATTGATTCAGCTTCTCTCTTTCCCTGGAACAGACATTAATGTTAAAGGTAAGTTATTCATTTTCTCTAGAGAACTAAGAAATTAAGCCATATAAAAGAACTCTATTAATATCTGTTTGGTAATAAAGTTTGTATTTATACTAATAAAACTGTCTTTATTATTTTAAACAACACAAAATGAGGACTTTATAGCAAGAATTGAGGTAAGATGAATTTATTAATGAATTACCATCACATTTTCTGCTGATTTTTAAAAATGCTATTTAATTTTTTTCAGATTTTTTTTCAGTAGAATTTCTTGTTTTGAAATTGTAAGCTGCCGGTCTAGCCATAACGAACACTAAAAATTAAAGTATTTTGCTGTCTAACAAATTACATTATTAACATTTCAGTACTACTTCTGCTGTTTTAAAACTTCCCTTGATTTATAATGCAGACTATGCTGGCTGGACGCCTTTGCATGAAGCCTGTAACCATGGCAGCACAGTGTGTGTCCGTGAAATTTTGCAGCGTTGTCCAGAGGTAGACCTGCTCAGTCAAGTGGATGGGGTGACTCCTTTGCATGATGCACTGTCAAATGGACATGTAGAAATTGGCAAGCTGCTACTTCAGCATGGGGGTGAGTGCATTTATGCTAAACTGGTTTAGGGAAATTATCTGCTGTTCTAAATCCGTGTGAAGTTCACAGTGTTTTTCTTAATAGTTGTTTAAAATACAATATTATTATGAAAGATTTATTTTAAAACATTTTTAAGCCAAGCAGGTTTGGTTACAATGAAAATAATACTGTTTTCACAGTTATCTTGATCAGCTGAATATGAAATTAACCACGATTTTCACATTTTTTCCAGTATGTTGATGTTTTTATTCTGCATTTTACACCATATGCATTGTAACTATGTTCTCCGTACTTATTAATGAAGGTGCAGATTACATAGTCAGCAAGCAAGGCTAAGGTTTTTTTTTTGTTTTGATTGATTTTTACCACAATGCAAATTTAATCATGTATTTCAACATAAATTTGTTCAGGATTTATGAAAATTAATGTCATGGTCTTTGAAGAACACAATTAGCTTGTCAATTAGTTTAAGAAAGGAATCTATATTGTAATAGTGATAACTGCTGTTTAGGGATAATAGTGGGAGGGATGCCTTAGTTTCTAAAAAAAAAGGTACACTGCCCCTTAGGCAGGCACATGACAAATGTTTTAAACAAAATTTTTTGTTCAGGGACAGGGTATTTGTATCTTAGTTGGAAGCATGTATTGTATCAATATATTTAACTTACCATATTTAAAAAAATGCCAACCAAATAAAACAACCACAACCAAACAACTACACAGAATGGTCTTGGGTATCAACTCTTCCTTCTTTTAATTAATTTACTAAAATGAGTGTTTTTCAATATCTGACCTACTATGTCAGCGAAAACTGTGTTTTATATGCCTAGTCAATTTTTTCAATAAAAATCATTTTGTGTATGATCATGAGGCAGAAGACTACACTGTGTTGAGATGGCCTATTACTTAATTAAGGTAGAGAAACAAAATTTTATTTTGTTCTTGGCATACGACCCCCTGTATTTACAGTCTTCTCCTGCCCCCTAAAGGCTATGTCTGTATCTGTTGTGCAAGTACCGGATCGTAATCAGTACATTCCTCTGCAGTTCTTCCTCTGCGTTCTGTGGTTCCCAGGTATTTTATATGTTTACTGAACCATATATCTGACATGCCAAAGCAATACCTGGGTTCAGTTCAATCAGTCTAAGTGATCCAACAGCCAGTATTATAGTAAGCCCAACTCCTCAATTGGAAATGGCATTGCACTGGCAGATGTACATTTTTCCTAGGCTATTGTGAAAAATTGGTAGTGGATGATCTTGTTGTCTTAGAGGAAGAGGTCTACTTGCCCTTGCATTCATCAAGGTTTTCTGGCAACTATAAGGCTGCAAATATGTATTATATTTGCCTTTGTCACTCTCTGAGTTATGGCCTGGCAAGTAACTGACAAGACTATGGTAGAAAGAATCTTACCCATTCAGTGTGAATTTACTCATCTTAATAATTTAGAACACATCTCTTTAAAAATGTACTCCTTTTTCTGTCTCTACAAACCTTCAGCTTGCAGAAGATTTAATGATACTAAATAATCAGTAATAATGCTAGAGCTTAAATCAGGGCAAAGTTAAAATGTCTACTATGGATATGTAATGCAAGGCTTTACCTTTTCTCAATAAAATGTATATTTGAAGTATTCAAGTTAACGTGACATCATTGCTTTACCGTAGTAACCCAAATTTATGTAAGTAGATCCCTGATGTGTTCATCTTTGAAAAACACCTGTAGTGTCTTAACAGCCTTCCTTTTTTCTTACTGAGGCAGCCTTTCTTAAATTTATCAAGAGATGTGTAAGCTGTTGAAATATTGATAGGTTCACTTCACTAATGAACAGGAAATACTGAAAGAATGCAGTGTAGTCTGAAAAGTAAACATGTCCCCTTTAATCATTTTAATTCTATTTATTAGAGCAATTATATTTTGCATTTCAGAAGTCTGTTAAGACCAAATTTTTAAACTCAGTTGTTGGGGAAGACTTGGATTCCCACCTCAATAGTTTATCTTGCTGCATAGCCTAAGGCAAGATTGGCCACACCATCCTGAAAAAGAAAATAAAGATCATCTCAGTAACGTACCTTTAATTTGAAGTCAATGTCATCAACTGACCTGGTCTGTAAAGTACTTAATAGAATTTTGCAACAGTAAAACCATTACATTTTTACATACTCTATAAAAGTTAAGAAAATATCTTAAAAAAACCTCACAAAGGGTCTACATGTTCTAGATTGTGTTGCAAATATGTAACTCATCAGTTACATCAACATAACTTAGTATGAAAAGGAACTTAAATAGACTCCTAGCTCCTGGCAAAAACCAATCCAAAATCTTGTTTGGCTGCCAAATCAAATGTGCTGTTGTTATTAATGTTTATATTTTCTCTGCAGGACCAGTCCTTCTACAGCAGAGAAACTCCAATGGAAAACTGCCACTGGATTGTGTTGAGTCAGTAGCATTAAAGGAAGAACTTTTGAATCTTGTTCACCCAGAAGAGAGCATTGAAAGCTTTTATGAATGTATAGAACAAGAGTTTTGCAGTCAGCAGAGAGAACTGTGTTTGATTTTATTTAATAAGCTGCTGCTGAATTTTTGCTCAGTTTATAATCTCTCTTCACCCTTGACTTTAACTCTCAGAGAGGTAGCTTGTTCAAATGTACTTGCAATAATGGCTTATGATAACTCCAAGATGAAAAACACATTTTCTGAAGATTGGTTAGTAAATACATATTTTAAAGAGCTAGAAACTTTTCAAAAGCTACCACAATTTCTTCAAGAAATATCTGCAAACATGTTTTTATTCCCTGGAGAACAGATGAAAGTCTTGTTAGCGACTCTGGAAACTATGGTAGAAGCATATCAGCTCTTAAATCTTTCTAGCAGTTAACTTCTAAACAAGACACACTGGCTGAATCTTGATTGTTAACCCTTGATGTTGGCCTGGCTTTTTTTCTGGCAACCAAAGAAGTACAAATTTCATAGCCCTACACAAGACCTACATGTTGCAATCTCCCACATTGTTACTATTTTCTTCTAGCAGATCCTGGAATTCAGAAACAATGCTTCTGCGCAGTTTTCTGGCAAAATTTTTCCTGTACTTGCTTCACAGACCTAGATGTCTGTGATTGTTGCGTTATTAATATAATAAATAAATAAGTCCCATGGGGACCATGTGAACACCAACGTGGTGGGGTAATGAAAGTGTGTTTATTCAAAGAGTCACAGCTTTAAATAGTAGTTTCAAATGGTCCCACATCACACAGGTAACATTCTAAGCCAATCCCATGCAAGCATTCAACTGAGCATGTGCAACAGAGTCTATAGAACTACAATTCCCAGAATATCTCAGCAGCACCTGGTGTAGCCACACCTACATGTGATCTTCTTAGGAGGGTGCTATATCGTTTGCAATAAGTTAAACTTTTCTGTCTTGAAAGTGTTTGCTACCTGTCTCGTGCCATAGGTCACTTTGGTTCTCAGAAGTTGTGACCCTGAATTTAAACCTCATAGCTGATTGTTTCAATACTTTAGAAAGGCTTGTGCCTACATATTTTAATATCCTTTTAATAAAACTAATATTGTAAATATCTGTCATGAAATAAAAACACATGGAATAGCAAATTTCGCTCATCAATTTTTGTCTTATTTATCCTTGTCTTATAAAAATTAAAATTATGTAAATTAATTATGTCTTGTAAAATTCAGAACAGAAGGCATTACATCTATATTTACAGAATCAATATGCTATCATTTCCCGACTTTGATAGAAATGGTCACACAAAGGGGTATGGAAAATCTTCTCACTCATCATCACTGTTTCGCTTGTGGTCACAGTCATTTGTGCAGTGACCACCTTAAGGACACTGGCCCAGACACCCAGGTGATTTACAAAACTCCAGTAGTACCACTTAGTTGAGATTTAAAACAATCAAATCATGTTGTTGCTTCCCAGGACAATGATAGTTTGAAGGGCCAAATCCACACTCAGCAAAACGTAAGGATATCCTTGGCTCTGCTCTAATTCATATTGCCTTAAAGGGATTTGATAAATCCATTACAGTGGTAGTGTAGAAAACGATTTGGTAACACTCCTTGGATTCCCTCAACTGAAGATGCTGGTGGAAGCAATGGCACAAATCTAGTTATGTTGGCAGGGGAATTTACAGAGGATTAGACAAGACAGTTTAAGTAGGCCCTGGACATCAGATTCTGACACTAAGTATGGATCTCCTTAAAAATTACTCCTCATTTAATATGAAACTTTTGGTCTCCATTCTGTGATAAATCCTCTAAATTAATCTTCCAGCCTAATTTAGGATGGTGTGCTACATATTCGATCATATGATCCCTTTAACTAATTAAGAAAAAAAGAAATTCCCATGCTGTTCTTTAAAGATACTGAGGCTTGAAAGGGAGCTGAGTTACCTAATTGTGCTTATGGTGTTGGGAATGCAGAAGAATTACATGTTTTGGAAAGCCCTTATTGCTCATTTATACCGCAACAGCTACTCTTTCTGCCTTGCCTCTTTGTACAGATCCAAATTAATTCCACACTAGGATCGAGAGACAAAGGGAAGTCTATCCCTTTCCCTTCCAAGGTGTACTGGGTCTGGCTGAGCTGGAGTTCACTTCAGTAGTGCTGAAGTGTAGTCAGTACTGAGCACAGCACCAACACTGTAACAATTCCTTCCTCAGTTGAGGGCAAGATCCTGGGAGGGGACCCAAGTAGACCAGCTGACCCAAACTGGCCAAAGGGATATTCTGTACCATAGGACATCAGCTCAGATATAAAAGCTGAGGCAAGGAGCAGAAAGAGTCTTGTCTCCAATGACTGCCTGCTAAGGAACTGTTACCCATGCTGGAGCACTGCTTCTTGGGAGTGGCCAGACATTGCTGCTGATGGGAAGTAGAGAATAAACCTTGTTATCTTCCACTTCACTTTTGCACATGCAAGCTTTTACTTTGCTGCTGCTTCAATAAACTGCCTTGTCCCAACCCATGAATTGTTTTCCATCTTACTCTCTCCCCTGTCCAGCTGGGAAGGGGAGAGAGAGAGCAGCTGGGTGAACAGGTGGTGTCCAGCCAAGGTCAACCCACTACAGTCCTTTTAGTTACCCAACGTGAGGTGAGATAAAGGCAGTTTTATATATAAATATATATATATATCCCGCATGATGGGTTGTCAAAGCTGCTGAAGGAGAGGGCAAGTCAAGCCAGTTTGTAGAAGTGAAAGCCATTGAACTAGCCCTACAGATTGCTGAACGAGAAAAGTGGCCTGTGCTATATCTCTGTGCTGACTCCTGGATGGTGGCTAATGCCCTATGAGGGCGGCAATGGAAGAAGGCCAATTGGCAACACAGGGTAAACCCATCTGGGCTGCTGCATTGTGGCAGGACATTGCTGCACGGCTGGAAAACATGACTCTGAAAGTGCATCACGTCAATGCTCACATGCCCAAAGGCCTTGCCGCTGAAGAAAATCAGAACAATGAGCAGGTGGATAAGGCTGCCAAGATTGGAATAGCCCAGGTAGATTTGGTCTGGGAGAGAAAGGTGAGCTATTTATATCCCAAGGGGCCTATGAAACATCAGAACATCTAGGAAGAGATGCAACATACAGATGGGCTCATGACTGAGGGGTAGACCTGACCATGGAGACCATCACACAGGTTATTCATGAATGTGAAACGTGTGCAGAATTAAGCGAGCCATGTGAGTAAAACCCTTCCAATTCCCATTCTTCTGTAAAAGCGCTTTTATAATATTTTAAAAAAAGAACCCTAAAAGAGAGGGTGTAGATTAATAGCTGCTTCTGAAATTGATGTTCCTTGACTATAGGAAATAATTCCATTGATGCATCTGGCTTGCAGCACATTAAAATTTACATTTAGCCTTTCTGGAGTTACAATATATGATCTTAGAGCAATCCATGGAAGATGCGCAGACTGAGTTGATCTTGGAACCAGAACTTCATTAAAAATGTCCTGTGTTTATTAATGACTGGTCAGGGGATTTATTTATGTCTTTTTTGTGTTTTTTTTAACTTTTCTCTAGTAAGAAAGCAACACCAAAAAACCTTTGTTGTATATGAGATGAACTAATAAATGTCAGTATTTCCTGTTGGAGGATGCAATGAAAGAAAAGTTCCAAGTGTACTTTGTAAAGAATGCAAAATATACATTTAAGTTGGCAATATTGACATCTTCTTTAGTCAAGAATTAAGAATTTAAACTAATTGGGACTCAGAGAGCCACCAAAAAAAATTCTGGTGGATCTGGTAAAGCAAACACTTCAGAATATTCATATTCTCATACTCCTAAAATAACACATGAGTGACTGAAATGAAAGCAGGAAAAGCATTATTTTGGTCTGATAAAGATAGTGATTTTGTTTACATAGCCAAGATATTCCCACAATTTTTATCATGTATGTTATTTAGAAAAGGAAAAAAAGCACATTGATCATTTATAAGTTCTATTTACCCATTTAAACTAATTTCAAGTACTTCTTTCCAAGATATTGTAAAGAAAAGTAGATAACATACTCTAAATGAACATTATTAACATTGCAAGATGAAACAGTCAAAAGTTAGCAAATATGTGAACTAATATTCCACATGTAGTCCCAATTTAAATATTGTCTGTGTGCATCATCAGTCTTTAATTATATGGTGACACAGTCCTCTATAATGTTCTCTTAGTTTAAAGATCAAATACTGAAAATTTTCCTGTTATTTCCCAGTCATCACCATTTTATACTTGAGTTTATACAAGAGTTTTATAATTACTCAGTTTTATATATGTTTGCAAACCCAAACCCTTAAAAAGTCTTAAGTATATCTCAGTCATTTAACATAAAATTATGTGTTTCATCCAATTTATTAGAGAGTACCTGTTCTCTTTCGGTATAGAACAACTTTCCTTTTAAATCATGACTGCAATAAAGTGAGATGTATTAATAAGTGATTAAACCGTTTGCTTTTTAAAATCCCTCATAGCATGTAGGACATTTCCCGCTTCCTGGCTTAGTTAAAAGAACAAAAAAATCAGGCTGCCAGGCCCTCTCCCCTTTTCATAGGATCATAGAATCAGATGGGTTGGAAAAAATCTCTGAGATCAAGTCCAACCCTTGATCCACTACCACCACAGTTATTAGACCATGGCACTAAGTGCCACATCTCTTCTTAAAAACCTCTAGGGTCAGAGAATCTACCACCTCCCTGGGCAGCCCATTCCAATGCCTGATTACACTCTCTGTAAAGAATTTCTTCCTAACATCTAACCTAAACCTCCCCTGGCAGAGCTTGAGCCCATGTCCCCTTGTCCTATTGTTGGTTGCCTGGGAGAAGAGACCAACCCCCACCTGGCTATAACCTCCCTTCAGGTAGTTGAAGAGAGTGATGAGGTCACCTCTAAGCCTTCTCTTCTCCAGACTAAACAACCCCAGCTCCCTCAGCC